TTTTGCAATATAGTAAATTTATACAAAATGACTTTGAAGTGCATTCATTTCTCCCCTTTGTACACGTAGATTTAAGTTGTTATTGTGATATTAGGACACCAAGCAACGTGATAAAGAAATTAATACTGAACCTTCGCACACGACAGTCACAAGAATCAGAGCCAGTACTCACGGTGAAAGGCGTTCACGCACCAAACTTTTTCACTGCATATGGCGCGTCAGTTGTTGAAGCGGGCCAGTGACAGCAATCGGTAGAAAACGCACTGGCACCGCGCCAAACCACTAACCTCCATCTGACACACCTTAGTGCCTGCACGACCTCCCTTCCGAGAAAGGGTGTCAGTACGACATCCCCCCCCACCACCTACATGAAGGGTTTCGATACGATCCCCCCTCTCCCCAACTTCTACCCATAGCCAGGGTGAAACGGGAGAATTTCCCCAACTTCCTACCACTTTTTCCCAATTTCACGAAGATTTTCCTGCCTTTTCCCTAAACGTTTGCTGTCGAGCGGGAGACGGGTGCAGGGGGGGGGGGGGTGGTCTATAGTGCACATGACAACAGGAAAAATCACCCAAATAGTCAACAACCGGAAAAAACCAACGCGGCAATTTCTCTTAAAGGCACATACGAAACCCCCCTCCCCCTCCTCCCCACAAAAAAAGAACGACGCCCACCCCTCGTGTGTTCCACACAACGGTGCTGTACCTTGGTTCATCTTTCCCAAATAACCCACACTCGACTCCCGTAACCCTGGCAGTTCCACCCTATCACCTCATAGACTTCATTCTAGCCCATTGCAATATAAAGTGCAACCCTAGCAAAATCTCCGCCATTGGTGCACACTGTTCCAATTTTTTAGTTGAGAAAACGTATAGTGAAACAAAAGCAATCGAAAAACCTCAAGAGAGGCTAGCCACAAAAGCTGATGTCGCTCAAGAGACCCTAGTTGGGACGCCGCGCATAATCTAGCAGTGGTTTTCCTAGCCTGGACGTACTCTAGGCTACAAGGTCACCTCCGATTCTGGTCCTTGTCGTGTGCGAGGTGAATAGTTCCACGGGGAGTGTCCCTCCGCCACTCAAAAGCGTGCGGATATGAGGCTTGAGGGCAGTGGTAGGTGGATGCTTTGGGGCTCCTAGCCCTTCCCTAACCAAATCGTGCTTCATGTCTGCGCCCTCTCGTTTGGCTGGGAGCCACAGTTCTCTTCTCTTCTTACACTACGCAATACACTTACACCTTGCCACAAACGACAGCTTGCCATTCATGTTATTCGCTGCGGGACCTCAGCATCGACGCACATGCTGCACAGCCGAAAGACATTCATCCCTCTCGCCTTATTTTCATGCGCTTTCGAGGACGAAAGTGGCACATTCCTACAGCTGCCGAGCCGCTCACCTCCCACGTGACCCGGACCCACTTTGCAGGTAAGCGTACAGATTGACTGGCCGCAGTGATCATTTACGCAGGGACGGTAAACTAGAGCAATCATTGTTGATTTGTCATTGTTGGTCGAGTCCGTGCGACGTCCGCCTTGAAAGCTCCCTACTTCTCCCCTCTGACACGATCGAGCTGTCGAGCGGGGAGGAGGAGAGAGTAAGCAGCACATGTGGAGAAAAACCACGAGAAATCAACAAGACGAAAAGTTCTCTCCCAACGCCGCCAATTTCGTTCGGAAGTCAAATAGGACCACCCCCTCTCTACCAACCAAGCAAGTCGGGGCACATCATCGGTGAGAATCTTAGTCGAGTCCGGATTCGCCGAAAATTTTCCTACTTTCGAAAAAATTTCGCTGTCGAGCGAAAAAGAAAGGAGAGGGGGGGGGGGGCTTATAGTATACATGAAGCAGGAAAAACCATGAACAATCACCAATCTCTCTCCAGAAGAGAAATACGACCCTCCTCTTAACAACGAGCGATACGACCCCCCCCCCCTTTTGATGACCAAAGACGTCCTCCCTGTTGGAGAATCCCCAACAACGATGTGCCCTAGAGAACGTTTCACACAGAACTTCTCGTTGCCTTGATTTCTCTTAATGGAGCTGAACCTAGACAATCACCCCCGGTCAAAGATTGAAGAAGAATATAACTTTACTATGAGCAGAGAAAAAAACACACAATTTCATCACGAGGTGTTCAGATTTCTGCAAAAAAGATCACCACCATCAGCAGAAGCAATCAACCGGATGAAAGGAGTGTGGATGGACTGTTGCGTGAGGGGTGCGGTGGAGTGCAAGCGATAACGATAAGAGGAGATCAGACGGCAAAGTGACCTGCACCATTCTAATACAGAAAGGAGAGAGAGAACAGAGGAATTATCCCACAACCCCTTGTTCGCAACGAATTTTCAATTCCTCGTATAAAAACCCAGTCGGGAAGAACACGGTATCAAGTGTTTTTCTCTAATTCTTCACCCACTTTTTCCTTTTTTTTTCCTTTCCAAACTCTTCGGGAAAAGTAAGCAAGCGCTGTGGAGTGGTTGACGCATAATACCCTTCACTCCATATCCCAGATAGCCCCTTTCGCCAAAGTTCTATATAACTAGTCGTTGGTCAGGGCACGTCCTGCGTCACGGAATCCCCAAGGGGAGGACGTCGTACTTGACCTCAGAATTTTTCTTTTGATATTTGATTTTTTTTCTGTTTCGAGTACGCGTCCCCCGATTCACGTAACCACCCCCGTCCCCCTCTTATGTGGTGACGTCCCGAAGGGCTATGTAACAATTAGATTCGATGGCTGAAAACGGTACTTGTTTGGTAGCTACCACCTCCAGCTCGCCACCAGAAAGCTGTCGTATTTTCTGCGGAGGGAGTCCCGTCATAAATTTGGGGAAGGGGTCGTATTTTTCAAGATTCTCCCTAGCGACGGACGCAACCTACTTTTAGTTTGTGCAGTTTGTAGTACCGTGGATCCCCCGTCTGACACCAGCATTAATGCACCACGATATTACCAGAATTAGCAGTTCGCTAATCCTGGGCCGAGGAACCTGAAATGGCTCATCATACAAACTCTGAATGTTCACCGTGCTTTCCCAACATGGTTTCAGATTTACTGACATGTAGGGGCCACGGGATAGAGAACATTCCTCAAATCCTCCGCCATGAATATAGCTTTGACAAAGACGAGAGGCGGCTTTTAATACCACAATCATCCGGAAAGCCAGTTTCTAGCCGACTTTTTTTTTCTCCGGGGACAGAACTGTTGCACCCTGGGTAGTTTGACCTTCTAAACCCCAACGCCTGGCGAAACCTCCTGACGCTCGCACCGCAGGCGCCGACGCCAAAATACTCGAAATGTCGAAATTGCTAGAATCTTGTCAAGTGAGATAGTTTAACCTTCTAAACACGAATATCCCATCCGCTTGGCCCAAAACCTCCTGGCCGCCTGTAGCACAGACTCGAATCGCTTTCGTAAGGAGCAGTGTGCTTGGGCAGTTAGGGAAATAGTGAAGAAAAGCAGCACTCTTCCTGGTTGCCTGTGATAGTGATCTTAACTTTACTAAGGCTCAGCCTTAGTAGACGATAGGACCACTCTCTCGGGGCAGGGGCGCAGACGGGCAGCAGGTTGCGCTATCCATGGGCTCCCTCTTACTTCATCTGAGCATTCTCTACACCACCCTATACAGACGTGATACTCGGGCCTGGGATGCGAAACTACCCCCACGAACTAGTTTTCAACGGCGCTGGGAGTTCTGTGACAAACGGATGGGACATTCGTGTATAGGAGGGAAAACTACCCCAGAGAACAACTTTTTGACCAATTTGGAAAGAAAGTTGGTCAAAAACTGACCTGATTTTGGATGCACTGGGGCAGTAAAGGATAAATGTGCCCGACAGGATAAAAAAACCTCGCCTAAGAATCCCATAGCAAAAGTGGGCATAGACAATACTAAGGAGCTATACCGGAATTTCAAGATCAATGCTCGGAGATCACAATGAGCAACTCATATAAAATAACCAGTACCGTAACTCTAAGTGCAGAAATCTAGAAAGTTTAAAGAAATATCTTCTTCTTTTTTGGTTGCGGTTGAGCTGGAACTGCATTCAACATCCATGATGGTACTGTAGTTTTCTGCGAAGCGTTCGATTTCGTTTCCTCTGGGACAGCACTTGTGGAGACTGCAATATCATTTTTTTTTGCTCGAATTAAAATAAAATTGGAGAAGCAGAAACTGAAGAAATTTGTGATGTAGAAGCATCATCCACCCAGAAGTACAACTCCCTGATCTCTCTAGCATTTCGAAAGATCGCCCATTTTCCATGAATGCTATTAAAAGGAGCAAAGAACCGTGTCCCTCCCTAACAAGGATCAAGGACATGAGAATCCCATGATGTTGGAGTGGTGCCAATGACTCAACAGAGAATTCACACTGAGAGCACGGCATGATCGAAGAGTCCCCAACTGGGGAGGGGGCATACCTAATTGCTTTGAGGAAATGATCGTATATGGCTCGCTGATAGTCCCGGGGGGAACCCTGGATTTATCTTGTTCATAGTGCTGTGCACACCCTCCTATATCTTGGCCCTCCCAACAACCCACGACATTTTCTGGGGACATTAGAGGCGAAAGAAGGTGAGCAGGAGTGTGAAGATGAGTTACTGGACTACACCGTATCCAAAGCAGCT